GGGGGGCTCGCCCATTATTTTATTCACCTCGAGCCCTCCTCATTGTGAGGGGGCTGTGAGGTCGTATACTCGGGCGTTTACATTTAGCAAACTCCCAATTTTTTAATGGAGCAAGAATTCGGGGTAGGACAATGCAAGATGGAACAGTACATTTTGTCATCTCGAAGTTTACATTTAGCAAAATCCCAATTTCTTAATGGAGCAAGAATTCGGGGTAGGACAATGCAAGATGGAGCAGTGCATTTTGTCATCTCGAAGTTTAGAGCTTGTTTGGTAGAGATTTTTAGAGGTAGAATTGATTTTGAATAGTGATATAATGGGAAATGTGTGGTAGAAAAAGAATAAAAAATTATTGATGTGATGAAAAATATTATTTTATTGAAGAATGTGTGATTGAAAATGAGAATTAATTTGAGAATCAATTCTCAAATAAAAAACAAACACCCCCTTATTCACTTTTGGTACAAATTTTAAGAATAATGTTATTTATTATCATGACGACGGAATATCGTTGATGTCGCAACTATTATTCCCCACATTTCTTTTTCTCTCTCCTCCTCCCATCTCATAAAAATGTACGATTCAATTTCATTATTTCACATATATCACATCATCAATATTTAATCGTTATAAAGATAAATAATATTTTTCAAATTTTAATTAGTTTTGGTATGAGCTTTGGCTCCCATTAAATTAAGAAAAGGAAAAAAGAATTGTACATGCTCTTTTTAGTTTTTCTCTCTTTGTTGATACAAATCATTGCCCTCTCTAATTAATTCATCGGAGAAAAAATGGCGGATCAGCTGACCGATGACCAGATCTCCGAATTCAAGGAAGCTTTCTCCCTATTCGACAAGGATGGCGATGGTCAGCCCCTCCTCCCATCCTCCATCGTGTATCTGTCTAGATATTTATAATTTGATGTGAATTTTTCATGGGTTTTTCGATCTATTATGAATCTATATGCATACATGTGTCTAGATATGTAATTTGTTGTGAATTCTTGGTGGATTTTTTGATCTATTATGTATCTGTACGCATATATGTATAAATATTTTTAATTTGATGTGAATTCTTGTTGGTTTTTGGATATGTAATGTTCGGATCTACTTGTTGGGTCGCTCTATTATTATTTTGTCTAATTTAATTCCTGTAAATTGCTTCACTTCATTTCATGTTTCTATGCATGTGATTATGTGTCTGATCTTTATTAATCGTTCACGAGATATCCAGTTCTATTGCGAGATGCCTTGCTCGTTTACGAATTTGTATTTATTTTAAACATTTTGTCATGAGCTGAAATTTACCTCGCAACCTCAAGCTTCCACAGATCAATCAATGAAGTTTCTGAGCTGAACCAGCTGAAATAGTAACCAAAAAAATGGAAAACAGAATGGAGATAGGATAAATGATGTAAAACAAACAAGAGAGGGAGAAAAGCTGTAGATTCAATCAACAGCTCCACTGAAATTTTGGCAGAAAACAATACCCCTTCTCCACTACGCACATGGGCTGATATAGCCTCTAATTCCACCAACAGATAAAAGTTGCACTTTCACAGCTAAAGGATTAAAAACGTTTGTTTAATTTCCTATTGCAATTTATTCAATCAAACTAAAGCAAAATGGTGCTGTATTTACTTAAATGAAACGCTGTCGTTTCCAATTCAAAATTCAGTTATGCTTGTTGCTTCCTTCTTCCTTCCCTATTCCAGGTTTTCTGTTCTTCCTTCCATGGTTGGTTCTTCTCCGTGTTTCTCCCCAATTTCTCCTTACATGACAATTTCATCTGTTTTTTTATAGTCGATGTGATTGGGTTTGAGTTTTTCTCAATGCCTTATGAAATTAAAGTTGATTATTGTGAATGAGACGGAGGTGTCCTACGTGGTCTTAATCAATATAATTTGATGCCAATCCTTGTCATTTCTCATGACTGTGTGGTGAGGCTCGCGGCAAGAGTTTATGGTTTTACAATTAGTCGGGAGAATATGTGATTATGGTTATATTTTTTTAATGGAATCTATGATATATTCTAAATCAAACTATTTAGTGACTTCAGTTTGATTTTTGGGCTTTTATGTAAGGGGATTAAAGATTGTTTGTGGCTTATAGTATGACACATTAAATGTTCGCTTTGCCAAGATTTAAGCATTGATCATCTTGATCACGTTTGTAGAAAATCTTTTATGCCTTTTCGACTACATTAAGCCACTGTTTGACTTAGTTAAGAATCAGATTTTTAATGGATTTGATAAAAGAGGATGGAATATGTGGTTGAAAAGTTTATAAAAGTTGTCGATCCCATGGAATGTGTGGTAGAATCAGTTTGAGGAAAAAGGAGTTTTAGAAAATGAGGACCAAAAATGGGCAAAATAACTCGGAATAAATTTTTTTACCAAAATCTGTTCTTATGCCAAGAGAAAATTCAATATGTAATCTGCGAATATATGCTATTAATTATTGTTTTTTTTCTCCTTTTGTGTCTTACCTTGCATAAAGTGTGTAAAACAGTCATCCACATTAATTTGATCTAATTATTTTGTGAAGTAGATTATAATGCGTATGTCTAGCATTATTATAGAGTTGATGCCACTTTTTTACTCTACTTTTATTACCCTAGTAGTTTCTATGTATTTGTGGTACTGCATAAAAACATCTCATTTTAGCCATATAACATCATGATAATCAGTTTCTTTTGTAATTGCTTGTGAATTTTATGGCAGGTTGCATCACTACCAAGGAGCTTGGGACTGTGATGCGCTCTTTGGGACAGAATCCAACGGAGGCTGAGCTTCAGGATATGATCAATGAGGTTGATGCTGACGGGAATGGGACAATTGACTTCCCTGAGTTCCTCAATTTGATGGCTCGGAAGATGAAGGACACTGATTCAGAGGAGGAGCTCAAGGAAGCTTTCCGGGTTTTTGACAAAGACCAGAATGGCTTCATTTCTGCTGCTGAGCTTCGCCATGTTATGACAAATCTTGGCGAGAAGCTTACTGATGAGGAGGTTGATGAGATGATCCGTGAGGCTGATGTTGATGGTGATGGGCAGATCAACTATGAGGAGTTTGTCAAGGTCATGATGGCCAAGTAAGAACCAGACAAACTAAATCTAAATCGTTGGAAGTATCAAGATAGACCCTACAAAGGAATCACGGCAGTTAAGTTTGACAAAATTTCTGTTGCTGGTTAGGATATGTGGTCTTCTTGCATTATTAGCTTTGTTTTGGTGCTTGCTGTTGTCCAGTTTGTGTTGTTTTTAAGTGACATTTTTCAGTAAATGCTCGTGTGCTCTGTCTTTTGTTTTTATAGTTTGGATTGTTAGTATCTTCAACTTTGTTTCTTCATTTGGTATTATGAACTCAGAGCAATTGGAAAACTGAGAATTTTTTTCCCTGTTACTATTTTTGTTGACATGCGAATTTGTTGAACTTCAAATTTTTTTCCTCGTAACTATTTTTGTTGACGTGCGAATTTGTTTAACTATGTACCTATCCATTAATCTCTTATTTTCACTAATATCTAATAGTCTTATTCTTATAAATTATAATTGTGATTGCCTATTATGTTCTAATATCAAAAGCACATCAGGCATCATTTTGCATACTTTTATATAACTTAACATAATTTACAGCCTAGCTCTTCTTGATGTTCCACCAGTTGACTAGCGCTAGGGGTGTGTTGGTTTGTTTTATTTCAAGTCTAATATTTATGCTATTAGGTCAGTGCAATAAACAAGATATCGACTTCTTTTTCTTCTGTGCCATATACTTTCCTTTACTTATCAAACCGTTAGTGCGTGTGGAAAACATTCAGTGTCCTTTTCACTTTGGTTTCCCTTGCGTCTTCTCCATAAGAATGATCATCATCTAGTGAAGGAGCCCTTCTATTTTGATTTGTATTTGTTTCACAAAATCAACTGAAAATGTGGATAAAAGCATCTTGCTAATAATGCATAAAGTCTGTCAGCACCAAAGCTGTCACACTGTAAAACTTCAGACTAGAATACAACAAAACATTCTTGAAAGTACAGAAACTGTGGATTTAAAAATTCTGCTAATTATCTCACTTGTGCACACTATTCATCAACATTTTCCCTGTTAAACCACAAGCAAGAGCCTCATTAGGAATCTTCTTAACATGATGAACACCTTCTGCAAAGATTACTCCCATTCCCATATGCAAATGGGGTTCTATATGACAATGGAAAGCCCATACTCCTGGATTATCTGCCACAAATCTTAATGCTGTCCATCCGTAAGGGAAAATTACTGCAGTATTCCTCAATGGTGGATTCTTCAAGTTGAACTTTGTCTCTTCCTTCTCAGTAAATCGTCCTTCTCCATACCCCAGCACCCAAAAATCGTGTCCATGCAAATGCCAAGGGTGTATTTCACTCACATTGGCCTTAAGTGCGTTGGCATTCTGCAATATCACATCAATTGTAGTGTTGAAGTCGAGCATGTATGCTCCACTCCCGTATGTCGAGTTCTTATTTGGAGCAGGCTTAGAAACATCATAGTTGGGCCCGAAATTTTCTGGGGGTCGTTTGTGGTCGAACGCATTGTTTAGACCATACCTGATCGAACCCAAGTAGGGTGTGGCTGGCAACACTAAGGAAACATTGTTTATAGCCCACTTAGTATATCCGTCAATCAAATTTTGGGTATTTAGCAGAATAATTCTTCTCTCATACTTCTTTGGTGGCTTAGGGGAGCCCTTTAGGGCAAGAATTTTGCTTGAAAACGATCTGCTGTAGTCATAATCGTTCCACAATGGTGCAACCGGTGGGGGTAAATTTGGAAGTTTTGATGCAGAAGTTGGAATATAGTTCAAAATTATTAGAGCTTGTGGGGTTTTGGGTTCTCTTCCTCTTACACTGACAGAAATCCAATAATTATTGGAGTGTTCTTGATCTGTAGTGAATAGTACCGAATAACTCTCACCAGAATATATGTCCATGTTGGATACAGAGTATGGCTCGAGATAATTTCCATCGGCTTCAACCAGTGTCATCTTGTGATTCTGTGGACATTGAAACAAAATGGGAGTCATTTTTTTTTTTCTTCCAAAAATTAAGGATAGTCTAAACTTTAAGAGTGAAGTCTCGTGCTATGTTTAAGAATGAATGAAGAATCGAAAGAACAAATCAACGCATGAACATAAATACAAGTTTAGATACTGAACGGTGACACTAGATGTGTAAAGTTGGTTACAATTGCTTCGACTTTCACATGCCTTGTTCGTGCTTCTTCGTTGCCAAAAAAGAATGACATTGCCAGACGAGCTGGCCGGGTCATTTTACATGTCCTAACAGTACTTTTTATTTTCACTTATTTGTTTAATTCTTCTCCCACCCCACCCCACACCAACAAAATTGTAGGCTTTGAACAAACATCATATATTTTGGACTCCATCATAATGGTTGAAAGAAATGATTTACAGAGAGAAAAGATTTATAATGGAATCCATGATCTCTAAAGAATGGACCCTATCTGAAATATTGAAAAAAAATAGCAAAAGTTTTCTATTTTTTGTGTAAATTCGAGCTAACAATCGATGAGGGGAAAAAAAGTTGATCACTTCAACGTGAATCACGGTGTTTTCCTTCTCGATTTCAATTTTCAGAACATGTATGATGATGTTTTTAGTCTCTGGACATGGATTAGACTAAGGTAATCATTTCCTTTAAGGTTTCCACCTTTGTACAACACTAGTCAACCTTCTTTTAATTTCTTGTATGCAAAAGTTGAGTTGGATACCAGGCAGACTATGCAGAGATGACATGTCACCCCCGACCGGCCCCTCACAATTGCTTTTTTTTTTTAAATAACCCACCTTAGGCGTGGTTAACTAAAAAAAGCTAACAGGTTGAATAAGGGCACATTTCAGATCCAAAAAAATCGAGTTTAATTCAATATAGTACACCAATCACATGGTATATATAAAGGAAATGTTATGTATACACAATGTTTCATACTTCCCTCACATGGAGGAGGGCCCACACAATATTTCTGAACCTCCCTCCATGTGAGGGAGGTGTAAAACATTGTGTACACAACAACGTGTACACATAGATTAATTCTATATATAACACTATAGGCACTTCGTTCAATTCCTACCTTATCAATTGAGCAACACGACTCACCTCTACTCAACTTCATTTAAACATTAAAGTTTTACTTTTTGATAATCTCACTTTTATCTAAGTCCGTAAAGCTTCAATAACATTAAACTAACATAGCTTAAAACTCTAATGGCAGTTTAAGGCAATTTGGACAATATTCATCATTCTTGTATAGCACTAAATACCTGTTTCAACACATGCATGGACCTATGAACACTGCTAATCGATGTGAAATGAGAGTACAAACCTCACAATGCATCTACTTTCTTTTGTGTACTTCTGACATTTCACTCATCCTTACCTACTCAAATTGCTATTCTCAACACGATATGACATACGACATTTGTGGTATTGAATTGCATAGTACACAACTCAGACATGATACAATGATAAAAAGTTCCATTCAACATTACTTCTTTCTTAAGCATGTTTAATCCTATCACATCCAACACCTACCGAAGGTGCTTTCTGTGAAATTAGATAGCATGGAAAAGCAATTTGTCGATTGTCAAAAAATCTTCCTCAATTTTGTTCGAAAAGGAGTCCTCAAAAAGATTATTCTTTACGCAAAATGCTAATAGCCATCCATTCTGATACCCAGCGAACTTTTGAAAAGTTCAAGTGGATGAATAAAAATCTAAAAAAAGTTGTTCATGTTGTCAACTTATTTCGATTCTTCTATTTCCAACTTAAAAGCGAGAGAGAGAGAGAGAGAGAGAGAGAATTTTGTTACCCCAATAGCCAAGTTGAGTGAAGCCAATGCAGTGGAGCTGGCTATTCTTAGTCTGTAGGTCTTGTTTGGGAGAACATGGAGGATATTTGGTGCACATTGTTCATTCCCTCTTAACTTGCACTGACTGCTTGACGAATTGCTAAAATGCGCAGCTAGTGAACAATTGTATTGCCCTCTTCCATTGATCAATAGGGTCTGGAGAATAACATACAAAGTCAGCAGATATTCTCAGTTTGATTATTATATATAATTTTATCGTTTGCGAGGACATATCATTGTATGAATAAGACAAAACATACTACAATGTTCAAGACATCGAACTTTTAAAATGTTTAGTTAAAAAATTTATAATTCAAACATTTTTTTAATCAATCTTGTCCATTATAAAGGCTCCTTTGTGGTGGTGGGGGGGGGGGGGNGGGGGGGGGGGGGGGGGGGGGGGGGGGGGGGGGGGGGGGGGGGGGGGGGGGGGGGGGGGGGGGGGGGGGGGGGGGGGGGGGGGGGGGGGGGGGGGGGCGTAGGGCTTGCCTTTGTTTCACAAATTTCTTGAAAATGCTAAGTTGTTCATGTACCTAACCTAATAACCTGCAAACATTTTCATGTGATCAAAATTTCAATTAGATCATAAGCCTTCCATTTTCTTGGTATAATGGAACCTTACTTTGCCCAACCACACAATAAGTATAAAAAATTATTTAATTTCTTGGTTTGCATGGCTCTCTCTCTTTGCAACGATCTCGACTAAACTCTGCTAGCTTTTGTTAAGCTATCTTGTCCATTTCGTGAAATATTTAGCACGTTAGACTGAAAAGAACTTTTGCATGCCTTTCTTGTTTTTCTCTTCTTCCAAGATGAGGTGAGGTGAGGTAGGGTGGGGTGGGAATGTGCAGGACTGGCTCTAAGTCCAGAGTCCAGGCTATATGCCGTATAGGCCTAAGGGATTTTTAAATAGATTATTACCTGGGGTTCACCAATCCATCTCATGGGGTTGGATGAAAGATCAACTTCTTGTTCATGAGAGCTTTTGTGCCACCAATCACTTAGTAATAAATTAAACTCTCCATCATAGTGAAATGGTTCTTTTTCCCCCTCTGCCCCTTCCACTATTAGTGAGCCATACAACCCTGCTGATCTTTGCATTCCATAGTGCCCATGATAAAAGTATGTGCCCGCCTGTACGAGAGAGATAGAGAGAGCATAGAATATTATTCAAGTGCTGTAAAGTGTTTTGATACCAGCTAAGCATAGCATTTTCTTAATTTAATGGACTATTATCAAGATAGAAACACAACAAATATATATATATATTAACAAACGATCACATATCCCTTTACTCAGATAGACTTTAATATGGGGTTTTTTTACCTTGTCAACCTTAAATCTGTAAAGAAAAGTTTCTCCAGGATTTATGGCACATTGTGAGATGGATGCAGTCCCATCTGCCCATGGTGTTCCAATCTGAAAACCAAAATCACTAGTGTAAGAAATCATAACAAGAATCCCTTCATGTTACCCAAGGGTGAGTCGGGACCTAAGATATATAGTCGATGTTCAACATAAGTATTCTTGTACTACCCGTTGTTGGTCTCGAGCTTCATATAAATGACCACACAAACAGACGCAAATTGGAGGTCAAGTCGAGCCTCCTCCTTAAGTATGTACTACGTTTGATCTTCGTTATTAATAAAACATACGAATGTACCTGTCTAATTCCATGCCAGTGAATGACAACTCCTTCAGTGGGAAGCTTGTTTGTAAGCTCAATATGTATGGTATCACCGGCCCGAGCCCGAATGGTAGGGCCCGGAAATTCTCCATTAATCCCCATAACCACAGCTTCTACACAATCTGGTGCCCAATGCATATACTCTACTTCCCATTTGAAATGCCTGGATTTAGCACAAAAAACGGAGTGAAAAAATATAGCCAAAATACAGCAAAGGAGAAAACTTGCAGAAGCAGAACCCATGTTTTCCTGCTGGGGTGGGGTGGGTGGGTGGGAAGGAGGGGAGGGTGGAGTGGGGTGGAGGCTCTCAAAGCACACTGGTGGACTGTTCAAGTGCTGCTGGAGTATAATATTTATACACACACACGACTTGTGTATAGACATGCATGTATACATTTATAAGAAAATTACAGTGGGATCCCTCAACTATTGAGAATGTAGCAAGTAGGTCCCCTTCCAATAGTTTGACAACCAATTACCTTTCATTTTATCAATATTTAAGTACATGATTGTCAAATCTTAATTTTATAAGTGCTTATAAGTTGTGATCTTAGTAATATGTGGATAGTAAATTGTGGATAAAATGTAAATTTAATTTGCTTAAATTATAATTTTAGCCTTACCAAACGTGTCAATCTCATCTCAAATTTGAATAACGAGGGAAGAACTTTATTAAGACTTAAAGAGTTAATTAACGGTTTTGGTCTAGTGTTTGATTAATAACTTGAAATTTTGTACAAGTTTACCTTGTAATTAAAAAAAAAAAAATTAACAAACAAAAAAATTGAAAAAAAAAACCAGTTATCTCACAATGTTGCCTTTAGCTCCCAATAAATAACTTTATGCTTTAAATTTTTTTATTTTTATTTTTATTTTCTAATCCCCACCCCCTTTTAAAATTAATTATATGTAAGAATGAAATTGTTTTGCCAATAAGAACTTAGTATAAATCAAAGATAAAAAGATAAAATTATCCGTTGAGGACTCTAGGGCTACAAAAACAAAAAGTTGAAGACTGAAGCAACCAAACGAATTGGTTGGGGACCTACTTGCTACATTTCCAATAGGTTGGAAACCCCAACCGTAATTTTTATAGATACTAGTACTAGGCAAGTGCTTTACATGTTTTATGTACGGAATGAATAATATGCGTAAAAAAATTAAAATTGTTAAAAAATATATTAACGAATAAAAGTCTTATACAATTACGTACATAATGTGAAAATATTGAATAAATTAAAATGTAATGTTTTATTTATGTTAGACATTGATTGGACCTCTATTTTCAACCATTATAGTGACATCGATCAACTTTATGGTACAGACGGATAAGAGGAAGAATAGAATTAAGAGATTTATATTTAACTAAGTTTAAAATGTTTACTTATAAGTAAACCAAATATACATAAATAATTTTCAAAATAAAAAAAAATTACTCTATTTTCCTGTAATATACACTTTTTACCTTAAACGATTAAAAAAAAAAAAAACTATCTTATCCAAACACATTTAGAAACAAAAATTACGTACTAATCATGCTCGTTATATTAATATGTAGTATTTATTTTCAATTAAGAACGAAAGTTACATTCAAAACAGATATAATTAATAAATAATATAATATATATACATGTACACATATGAAATAATATTATAATATATTATAGGTGGCATTAATGATAGATTAATTACAATTTAACTTCATGTAATCTCCTTTTAAGTATAGAATTCATTTTCCATATTG